TAGTCAACATATATCAATACAAAATACCCCCACATCTATCCTCTAAATATAGAGCATATCAGGGACATATCTGTGCTACACTACACCCTTCTTCATTTGGAGTGACGTCGGCCAAGAGGGTCAGCTGATCCACACTGACGTGACGAAGAAAAGTCAAAGAAAGGAACGGGATTTCCGGAATCCGCGCAGCCAATGAGTGCATTCCACATGCGGACAGCGAGAGCAGTACATGCGGATCAGGAGAGCGGCACAGCGGAGACACGCGATTGGTGCTGATGGTGCTAGGGCTGCGAACACCGGCAGTGTGCTGCGGTTCACGGGAATGAGACGAGGGATAGATCCGAAAGAATAGTTAAGGGCTTCGTTTGGTTACTCGGCACATCATAAGGACACTAGAACTCCAAGCAGGCATCGAAAAAACTTAAAGACCAAAAACAACCAGCGAGTTTACGATGCGCGTTGTGTAATTTTTGCTTGAATTAGTCCGGGTTTGTAACTTTTCTTCTCATTAAACGCCTGAACTAAAAAGTTAACATCGGCTTTTATCGTGTACTGTTTATCTGAGGTCACTAACGTTACTGTTGTTTTTGGTTCAAGTTTTTCGTGGGTCCGAAGGTCTTGGGAATCAGGACTGAAGGCTTTGAAGAAGCCCGTTTGTGGGGGGGTTGCGAGTCCGTTCATAATAAGCGTGTCCGTCCGTCCACGATGGAGAACGCACATACGAAAACCGTGGAGGAACTTTACAGCTTTTTCGCCGTGAACGAGAGCACGGGGCTCGGCCTGGAGCAAGTGAAGCGTCAGCGGGAGAAATGGGGACCGAACGGTGAGTGAGCGAACGTGGCCCGGCTAATGCTAACAGAGGAGACTGGGATCGGCAGTGCAAAGGAAAGCAAAGAGGTTTAGATGATTTCGCAATGTGTGTCTAGTGTAAAAGCATTGTTGAGAGAGCGGGCGCACATGCGGCAAGGTTCATTTCATCAGCCGGCATGTGTCTGAAATGAAGGCGCGTGACGTCACTGCTGCTCGCCACCAGTGACTATTCTTATTTTACAGATTTGGCCAGAAATTAGTGTTGTAAATATAAACAACCTGTTTTGTTACGTATTTAATTTTTTCCCACTTTAGTTAACATCTCAGTTGTCTTTTGCCGTGAAGCCTGAATGATGCAGATTACTTTACTGTAATTTAATTTTACGAATATCTTTTCCTCCCCATGCTGTGAATCTTTGGCTGTCCCACAGAATTGCCTGCGGAAGAGGGTAATCTTTTGTCATTAATTTTTTTACGTCTTCTTTTATGCATTCCACACCTTGGTCTTTATTATCATGTATTCACATGCTTTTTGTCTTCAGGAAAATCACTGTGGGAGTTGGTGGTGGAGCAATTTGAGGATCTTTTAGTGAGGATTCTTCTCCTGGCAGCTTGCATATCTTTTGTAAGTACCTCAGTACAGTTAGAATACAGTACTTGTTTAGTTTTCCATATCATAATTTCCCCCCGTTTTATCTGGATTAGGTTAAATAAAGGTCGATTAGATTGGATTCAACTTTTGTCATTGTGCAGAGGACAAGTACATTAGTATGTAACAAGAAGAGAAATTAAACTAAACTTTTCTGGGATAAAAATGGTTGTTAGTTTATATGGGGGGAAAAATAAGCCAAAGCATCAAGCTTTGGCTGTCACCAAGCAATGTGAAAACTAAAAAACGATCTGGATCAGCATATGTTAGTGGAATGGAGTTACAGAGAATTCCTCTCCCTGTGTTCTGTAATTACTCAGCTCCAGTTCCATTCCGGGTTTTCCACTGGTTCTAAAAATGACGTTCTAAAACAGACCAAAACTGTTATATAAAATGTAATATAGCATATAAATAATGGTGAGGTGCAAATCTTAACCAAACAGAACTTTATGATTCATGTTTGGTTCGTTAAGAATTTCAGCTTATTTTTTTATCACTACGTGACATGTTAAAAACTGCGACGCAATGGGTAATGATACGTACCATGCTGAAAGGTATCTGAGTGCTTCATAAATGCACTGCGTGATATTTTGGTCATGCTACAAAATGCTGTCATCGGGCTACAAGGTGATGATGTACAGCGGTTCACTCAGTGGTTCATTTATGCTGTCTGGAGTCTTTAACACTTGTCTGTTCTGGATAATGTTTCACGCTGGAATGGGAAGCATGGTGCAAGTCTAAGAGGGCTTAGAGTGCTCTCACTGAGAACATGGTGTAAAATACTCTGGCCTGGAGGTTAGGTTACTGTGTTAAACCAACTGTCATCCACTTCCTGTGTTTGGACCTGTGGGTGTGCTGAAAAATCACTGTTTGTGGCATCAACATTGAAGATTATTATTATTACAGCATGCTTGTTTACATGACAAATATATGAAAAGAGGGGGGGAAACGACGTTCCTTAAATCCATTTGCTTTTGTTACTGACTGCTTGTTCCTCATCTTCACATCTGGTGTCCAGTGTTGTGACACTGCACAAGTGTTACTGGCAACAGGAAAGTTGTTCCCTCAGAATCGGTCCTGTGTATTGTTTGAGATCTCTCTTAAGCCCCATTGGCACCTAGCCACATACAGGTCTAAACAAGGTCCAAACGTGTTATGCTTGCCCTGACTAACCTATCATAGAGATGCAATAACTTGCTGTTACACCCACCTTTGTTATTCCCACAAGGCAAGGGTGTTATTAAATCAGCACAGTGTATCCCATCAGGACTAAGCACAGCAACTGGAATTTACAACCACAGCTATTTCCACGAGAACCTTTTATAATTGAAGTCAGTTGAATGATTTTGAGTGGCATCTCATTTAATGGACTGAATTTTGGAAAAGCCATTATGCTTTGTATTCAGAAGTCATAAGTTTTACCAGAAAGAGCATTTAAAGGGTTAGTTCACCCAAAAATGAAAAATAGCCCATAAATTACTCACCCTCAAGTCATCCTAGGTGTATATGACTTTCTTCTTTGAACGCTGAACTCATTCGTCATCCGCCCGGAACTGCTTCCGTGTATAACAGTGAGCGCAAGCTACATTAAAGTGATTATTACGTTTTGAATATGGATATTTTTCTTACAAAAATGCATCGATTCGCTACAGGAGGCCTTTGTTCATCCCCCAGAGCCGTGTGAGAGACTTTTTTTTTAATGGATGGGCACTTTTTATTTAACTTCTTTTGGACTGATGCACTGCAACACCCGCTGAGTGGCATTAAACAGCTTGAAAGATCAAAGACAATTTTTAATATAACTCCGACTGGATTCGTCTGAAAGAAGAAAGTCATATACAGGATGACTTGAGGGTGAGTAATTTGGGCTAATTTTAATTTTTGGGTGAACTAACCCTTTAACTTATGTATTTTGGTATGAGTTTGATAATGTTGCTGTTAAAAGTATCACATCTGTAGTATGACTTATAGTTGTTCAACAAAGACAAAACATATTGCCACAACTCGGTAAATTGATGAATTATATTTTAAAACATTACAACAAATGTGTTATTCAAAATAAAGTATTTTAATTGTTTTTTAAAAATATGTATACACTGTTGAAAATTTTTGGGGTTGGTAAGATTTTTTTTTTAGTTTTTGAAAGAAGTCTTGCTCTCACCAAGGCTGCATTTATTTGATCAAAAATACAGCAAAGACTGTAATATCAAATATTATTACAATGTAAAATAACTGTTTTCTATTTTAATGTATTTAAAATGTAATTTATTCCTGGGATGACAAAGTTGAATTTTCTGCAGCCTTTACTGCTCTCTTCAGTGTCACATGATGATGCTAAAAATGGTTGTGCAGCTTAATATTTTTGTGGACACCATATTTATTTGAAATAGAAATATTTTGTAACATTAGAAATTCCTTTGTCACATCTGATCAATTAAATGCATCCTTACTTGAAAAAGTTTAATTTTTACTTTAATTTTTAAAAATAATAAAAACAACCTATCCCAAACTTTTAATAGTAGTACATGCATATTTTATTCATCTGTTATACAGTGTATTATGCAAATGTCTGTATAATGCTTTATAGGTCCATGCTGTTCGTTGAGCTAAATTGGGGTAGAGGATGTTACCAGATGCATGTCTATGATTAGACTAATTGATAAAGAACAGTTTGTCTGTGTGAACTAGCTTAGGGACTCAATGTATCATCGAAATGATGACCAAGAGCTGCAAAGGAAACCTCTCATACAAGGTCAGGGATTTAATCGAACAGAACTCAAGCTTGTCCTAGAGTACCCTCTGAAAGATAAAACCGGACGTTACAGAAACAATATTCCAGAGACTGCATAAGGAATACTAAGCTTTTTTGCCTCACTAGAATATGTGGGTTGGTGTTAAAAGACTCTCTTTTTATGCACTGACTGCACATTGCTTCTGTTTGTGTATTGGTGTTTGCAAAGACAGACACCATTGTTCATACATGAGTTTTAGATATTGTCATTACATTCTCGGTTGACCAGTGAGACCTCTTGTGTGGCCCAGGTTTACCCTTAGAGTCTAGACCAGTGATCCTCAAATCTGGCTCGCGAGATCCACTTTCCTGCAGAGTTTAGTTCTAACCCTAATCAAACACACCTGAGTTTGCTAATCAATGTCTTCAGGATCATTAGAAAATCACAGGTAGGTTTGTTTGATTAGGGTTGGAGCTAAACTCTGCAGGAAAGTGGATCTCGCCAGCCAGATTTGAGGATCACTGGTCTAGACTGATGAAAGCTGGTCTGTCTTAATTTGGATCATATTACATAAAGTGCTTCAGCATTTACTGGGCCTTGTCTGGACAGTGTCAGCATGCCTGTAAATTCACATAGCTGGCTTGTTAAGTACTTTGTCTCAGTTATACTGCCTACAAGTGGCATGCATGAAATATAGTCGTGCTTGTGAAGTTGCTGACGACCGTCTGTTTTGACGCATGGCATAAAGCCACAACTCCTGCCAAGCCTCATGATATAGAGAGACATGCTTGAGGTACAAAAAAGTGTAAAAACATGATGCACTAAACGGTTTATAAGGTGTCTTCCCTGAAAGACTCCTTGGTGTTTTTCAGTCATTTGGTAATGTGTGGGTATTTGGCGAACTTCCTCAAAGGAATGAAGGAAATATAAATGTGAATGAAATACTGATTTAAATAATTTTTTTTTTTTTTTTTTTTAAATAGGTACTGGCCTGGTTTGAAGAGGGAGAGGAGACCATCACAGCATTTGTGGAGCCTTTTGTTATATTACTAATTCTTATAGCCAACGCCATTGTAGGTGTCTGGCAGGTAAGTTTGGACTACATTTTCTTGAGTTTTGCCTTATTTTATACTTTTTCTGAGCAAAATGATTACTAAGCGCTAATACAGTAATAGCTGTAAGGTTACTGGTTTGCAAAAGAGTGTTTTGATTTTGACATATATTTTAATTTTGTGCAGATAGTCTGACTTAAACTGCTTCCAGTCTGCTAAAGACAGATTGGACAAGTAATGTCCCATATAATCGCTAAATCCTGGTTTTTGCATATTGACGTGCTCTGCCGGATGTTTATGAACAATATTTGATTACTTTGTTGTATGAGAGATGAAGTTTGGGGTCAGTAAGTTTAAATGATCAAAAGTGTTAAATGATAAAAAGTGACAGTAAAGGCATTTATAATGTCACAAAATATTCTATTCTAAGATTCCATTTCAAATAAATACAGTTTTTTTAAACTATATTCATCAGAGAGTACTGAAAAAATCAGTTTCCAACTTTTGTCATTGACAATAAGAATGTTTCTTGAGCACCATATATTCAGCTTTGCCATCATAAAAATGTATTTCATTATAAATATTAGGGGTGTAACGGTACACGTATTCGTACCGAACCGTTT